TTGGTATTGAGTTGCATGAAGGTCACTGTGCAGGGTGTGAGAAGTATAGGGACAAATATACAGGTAAATTATACCATTATTTTAAATAGTAGGCTACACAAAAAAAAACATAAAGTTGACATTATTCATTATGCCCATGTTAATAGTTCAGGTAGTGTTATTTACTTCGTGTATACATAGAACAGTTAAGTCTTTGAAGAGTATTTATACATACATACATAAAGCGGAAAATGAACATGAGCTTTCGTGATGGAAAATGTCCGCAATAAACCTTTGAACAACATTAACTCACCATCACCAACAATGAACTTCAAACAAAGTATTTATACATCTTGAAATGACTCCGGTAACATACACCCAGTATTGCAGAGCAAGTAAAGTAAGAAGTTCCAATGTTATTGATCTTGGCTCGGACATGTGTTGCGGTTGTAAACATCCGCTCAGTCTCCGGGGACTCGGTGTACCTTCCATGCATTTATATCACTTTCTGTCCAGTCCGGGCATCGCTGGGCAGTGGGCAGTTCGATCTACTTAACACGCCGGGCATGTATCAGGTAACCGCAACGACTGCGAGAGCTAGCAAATAGATGTGTGTTTTAGAAGATCTCGAGAATGTTGAATATAAACTGATTATAATATTTGATTTCGAAGCACTAAGGAGAAAAATCCCCAAATCCATGGGTGTATGTATAGCCAAGTGTAGTGTCTTAAACGGCGCGAGAGGGACGGGTTAGATTCTGAGTAAATCCAAGCAAATCCCAGGGGTTTGGGTCTCTTTTCGAAAAATTGTATGTTACCAATTAATGCCAGCGTAGAAAAAAAGATCACAAAACCCCAGTAGACTTAGATCGTTAAAGTACAAACTTTATGTGTGAACTAGCTGTGTACCATTTCTACGCACCCGATCTTATAGTAGTCAGTTGAAACTATTTTTTTCAGATATGCGGGCAAAACTATTACAGTATATATAAACCTTCGCAAAAACAGTATCTGGCAGTTTCAAGCCAAAACAAATGCTTCGCAATTAAATGTCACTCGGATCGTGTTGGTCCATATGTTAAATCCAATGATTAAACTAAAAAAATGCTTTATAGATCTATGAGACATAGCCCTAAATTCCAAAAGAACCAAATGTGTGAACCTACAATAATCTATATATTAATAGGCAAGCATGTAAAATATAAATACATAGACTTTTCTCTAGAGACAACATGTGTACAATGTGTTTCTAGTTTATTTTTGTGCCTCCATGGTGATTGCTTTATACTTCTCAGAATTCACTGTTTAGTCTTGATAGAGCGGAATTATTTAGGTATAAGAATACTAAGAAAACTACCAAATGAAAGTAAAATTGCTTCTATTACATAAGTATAGTTCTTGTATTTTATTTTCTTGTATACTTGGATAGTAGTTCTTTTTCGGACACCCGGTACACTCAGCCTGAGTTTCACGACATGACTCTTTAATCCCACTAGATTCACAACCACACGGGACGTTTCTATTATGTTTATTACGATTCACAGCTCATAAGCCCAGCAGGGACAGAATTCTTATGAAGATGTAACGTGTTGTTGTGTAGGCCGACTCTATTCCATAAAATTTAACGTTCAACACACACCAAGACTAGGCTCTATGTAACGCAAAGGGAGTAACGCAAAAGACGGCTCGATTGCTTGTGTTCCTAACCACCTGTGTACACAAAATTGTCTCATTCTACACCTGCACCTCAGCTACTTCCTATATATATATAACATTTCGAGTAGAAATTGACTGTGTGTGAAGTATATTTGACCAATAAAATATCTTAGCATTCATGACGGTTTTAGTTCTTCTTGAAAGTTATCAATTGTAATCCTATGATAGAGTTCTCTCCGAGTGTAGGAGTTTTGCCAACGGGTATCAGGTAGAAAGGGTCCCCATCCATGAATTCCACATACTGCGGAGTTTTGCCAACGGTTGTGGGTTGCGCGAGAGGGGGAGGGGGAGAGAGATTACGCGTGACTGTGAGGGTGGCTTCCGCTAGGGGTGGACACACCAGGCAGGATGCTGACTGTGTTCAAAGTATGTAATGCAGTTATGCACCTCTGACTGTGAAAGGAAATGTATTGAATTTTTAACCTAACCTAACCTAACCTAACCTAACCTAACCTAACCCACTGCGACAAGCGCATAACTGCCAAGCGTAGACAACCCTGACAATCGCTCTCCTTCCGGACGTCACACTCTTTCTCCCACCACCACCGTTGGCAAATCTCCGCACCAAGAGGTGGCCGAAGGCATTCCCCCCATCTACCTGACACCCGTTGGCAAAACTCCGGTTCCCGTTCTCTCCTCTCAACACTTCTTCAACCAATTAATATTCAATTTTTGAAATTAGCTTCTTCCACAAATCACAATCGATTTGATCTTCCTCGATAACTCCATAATATTTTGTTTTTAAGTATGGTATCTATTGCGCACCTATTTAGCCCAAATTTTGGTGAAGAGTTTTCGTAATAAACAGATAAAAAAATACCGAGTTACAACATAATATTATTTACATCTACAACGTAGTTTCTTACAGTTGTGAAGTATCATGTTCGCGTGCCGGTAACGAAGCATTACAAAATTCAACGTCGTAGTTTTTGTACACGTTGCTAACATCCGCCAACATACGAGCTGCGTTTCCTCAATACTAATAAACCAAGATTCGTATTCACCCGGCTTAGTCGTAAACTCGAACTATCAACAATGAGCAGTTCCCGCCATAATGTCGATCACATGGCGGCAATAGCCGGAACAGCTGATTGTTTACTTACCCACTCGCATGATCTCGTCCCTTCTCTGGTCTTTGAGTCATCAGCTGATCAATATCTACCTTGTCGTCGCCTACTCAGCTGTCTCTATTATCAATGTGTATTGTCTAAAATTGTTTATAGTTATCATTTAATTATGCAGGGAGATTTTAATCTTGCGTTAATAGTTCAGGCGTCTGCCAACGCACGTTAGAGAATTATCGATGCGTTTTCGAGCGCCCATACTTAACGCAGTGATTGGATTTTAGCTTATCTATTATATTATTAAAGTGATACAATCACATTTTATGTAAACGGTTAAGGCCATTTACCAAATAAAAATATAGGCATATGTCACATCTAAATTAAGCTTAGAATGTGTAGATTTGCCGAAAAGTATTGATATGGACGAATTTCCTAAGGGCTCAGCCCCACAGGCTGATTTCCAAAGGGCTACGCGTGGCATGCTTCCAAAGTTTACATGATTTTATTTTATTTAGTTAATGAAACAGCTGGTCAGTACAATGAACTGGTGTTTGTATATTTACTCGAAAAAGATGTTTGTGTGTGATGCTTTATGTAGATTTAGGAGGGTTATGTTTGGTTTGAAAGAAAGGTTGTATACGTTTTGTAAAGTATTGCTCAAAGTTTCATTTTGTAATTTTTATAGTAAGCTACATATAAAGAGGCTTGACTAAAGTTGAAGAGTTATCGTAAAACATGTCATTCGTGAAGCATCAAAATGAAGCAGCAAATGATGCTGTTGCTACACTAAGGTAGCATGTCATTTTGGATCTATTGACATAAAAGGTAGGAGTTTGAAAGTAAGTAGGTTTACACTTTTACATCAGTTTATATTTTCAAACTAAATCATAGAGTTGCTGAAATTTTAAAACACACATCAGAATTACTTTAATAGCACTCTAGGTCACCTTTTTCCCCGTTGCAAAGCACGGGTATAGCAGCTTGTATTATATTATTTATATTATTATTTAAATTATTTATTTTATAATGTTATTACGTAGAGTTATTTACATCGATGGTTATTACTTGAGTCAAATAAGTGTTTTGCAATACTTGCAATAAAGTTGTACGGATACAGTAATAAAAAAAAAAACATTATTAAGAGTCTGGCAGTGCCGGATTACCAATAATTCTGAGGAATGACGTGTCAAAATGTGAATTTTTGAGAATAGCAGAAATACTGATGAACTATATCAGTATTGATTAATAAGAGGCATTGATAAGTATCAAAACCTTTTACCGAATACACCCAACCTCAAATGCTTGTCCGAAAACCTAGCAGAACGCACCTGGGAAACTCATCAGTACTGTTGTGGATTGAATGGGACGGATAGCGGGGTTTAATTGCATCACGTATATCACCGTGTACGATTGAATGTACTTTTTTAGAGGTTAGTCTCTTGAACTATTGATGAGACCACGAAACGTCCCAATAGCGTGTTGCTATATCCCTCTAAGACAATTGAGGTCCGTCTTCCACCCCATCTTATACAATATTAACCACTGGAAGGTACGATTCAACACACACTACAGTACATTACCCAACACTAACACTACATCCTGCCTTGACTGTACTGCCTACAACAGTCTATGTCTAGCCCTGTATCGCTCGTGATGGATTTGAGATGGTACTGTTAAACATGCATGACTGACAGATAAAATCTATGCCGTGGTGTTTCATATGTTAGGTTGTTTTAACGACTATCCGCAGTACTAGATATTTAGACCAATTCGTTAATACCAAGGCAAAAATGTGGTTCGGATTTCATTATAAACTATAGGTCCCTTAGTTGCCATATCGATGGGGGGTTGCCATTAGCTGTTTGGGCTATTAATTAACAGCCGTGTCCAAGGAATATATCGGCCATACACTAACAAGACTACAAGATTGCGCCACTCATCCTACACTCATCTCCTTTGTATGGTCACCATTTCAACGAAAATTATTCAAAAAAGTATTTACTTTTTGATATTTCAGCACAGAAAAGAGGTACTGGATGAAAATTTGCAGAGATAATTTTTGCTCTAAACCCAGATGGAATAGTTTTGACCACCTCAATTTTTTTCCCAAATATGTCCGTTTCATAATATATTTTATTCCTGTTATATTTATAATTAATTACCCCCACCCTCTCAAATAAGATGTACTCGTATTTATTACGAGTGTGTGTGTGTGTGTAGTATGTGGTATTGTATACTGACCGTGTGTGTGGGGGCGGTGGTCGTGGAGGACTCCTTCTACGGCAGGGCGGCCACGTCGAGTCCGCCGGTCCCAGGACCTGTAACATAAACACCAATATTGATAAACATTCACTAGTACGGTTGACTAAATATGGATACCTCAAGAGTAGGAATATGATTTATTTTTTCAAATCATTTAATATTTGGTAAATTATTCGCTTCCAATAAGTGATAAAGGCTGAATACAGTAATTTACTTTTTGGAGATGTCCGCTCATTCTTTTTGGTAGGGGGAGAGAGTTCTATTCCATTATGAAAAACAGTACAATGGGATATATCTCCCTTAGAACAAGAACTTAGACTTAAATAACCATTACGTTCCAGCACAATACAGCGTATAGTCTAACGATCCGAAATGGATGTATGCAATTTCAAAATGTTAAACTATATTTGTATTTCACAACACCTACTAGTCCCACTCGAAGGTCAACGACCAAGGAATGTCAATACCAGAGAACGACAGTTAGCAAAGTCTTGGTAATACAAAGGCGTGTCGAGCGTTAAGTGGTGTCGACTCTTGAAAACACATTCGCTTGTACTTGAGTTGCCCGCTATAGTTATTAGCTAGCATTCCACAGCGGGGACACTTCTGATAACAATGCAAAAGTGGGAAAAGGTCTTGACGAGTCATACAACTACAAAAGTCAATCATGAACAGAAAGGTTTCCTTGTTAAAAAAGGGTTTTGGAAAGGCAACGATAGTTTTGAGCTTAGAAATAACTTATTGTCACACAGATTTGCTGATATATACGAACTTATTTCTGAGTGATTACTTAGGTTCCTAAACAGAACAGCAAAATTTGGCAACTTTGGCCAAAACCTTTTTATCGCTGAACACTATGTATTTTCCTCTTCGTACACAGTCAATGAATAAGGAATTGAAAAATATATTCCTACGAATACTTAAATTTTAAATTATATATTCTTATTTCCATTACAATTAAATAATTTGCTCACATTATTTCTTAACTATTTTATGGTTCTATAAAATTTCAATAACTACTTTTTCCCAAACTTTTGGTAAGGGGTGTTTTTATTTAAAAAAAAACATCCTTGGTATTGTGCCCAAATTTAAATGCAAAAATACAATGTTTGGGTTGTAAGACCAGCAGAAGCAATCCCACCAATAACTCATTTTGAAAACATTTCGTAGGTAATTTTCAAACATAAAATGCAATACTCAAAATAATTATTTCAATGACATAATCAATGCGCAGTGCAGTGCGCCGACGCGAAAGAAGCAGCGAATCATTCTTTCACAGCAGTGCCTTAACACAGCATTCTTCCCGGAGCACAGCCATCGAACCAAAGCCATAATATTTGAAGGCACAGCTTTTCTGAGTAAAGGCGAGTTTTCCGCAGCTAAAAACAATGCCCGCACATCAGCCGACGCAGTACGCAGCTCCACTCAAGCAGTACGCATCACACGCATACACATTGCACTGCGCCGACGCAGTACGCAGCGCTGTTAACTGAGCTCGTTAGACTATTTACGCATGAACGGTGATGACTGCACGACTCAGTCTGATCGTGAGAGACGCTCCGCCTCTAGCAGTGGAGCATTGGGAGTCAGCTGATTTATTGGGGTTGGAAATCAATAGTAACTTCAATAACCTTACAGGTGCTCCGTTAATACTCGTAGTACGTTACGGTTGTGAAATCTTGAAAACACTTTGGTCATCAAAACTACAACGGAACAAAAAAATAAAAAAAACATTATTCACGATTTTTACGATTTTATTGATTAAATACTAGGACATGATTACCTGATCTCGATTAGAAAATTTTAGTTACGTATTCAAGCCGTTTGAATATCTGTATGGAAGTAATTTGTGAAATTTTGTCCTCATGAAATGAAACAATAAATTGTTGTTCGCCAAAGTATGTAGGAGGATCAGGTGTGTTGCGTACACTGCTTTTGTTGAATAAGATAACCTATCCTATAGTTTCTAAGTTTGCAGATCGAACGCCCCAAACACATTTTAATAGCTTACAGTAATTCTTACGTGTGATGAGACATTTTCATTTTGTGCGCCTATTGGACTTGTCTTTCTCTGCTGTGATCCAGGAACAACCTCGCCAAACAAAGAACGCAAAGTGTAGAAGAACACAGTCCCTGACACAGCCTCTCTGGACCCACTCTGGACCCACGTCTTCTGTCTCCCTGACCCCCGGTAGTCAGTGGGTGTCCAAGGGGCAACGGTCCAAGGTGGAGGCGGAGGCACGGCTGTGCGTGATCCTCCATCACGCTGAGATGTACCGTTGTCGTCATTACACGCCAAGGCTGCTGCATTCCGGTACATTCACATCCCACTTCGATCACAACTATCTACAATCGTGTCAACTGTGTCCTCGCAAATCGCTCACCACTCCGGGGACGCGAAACACGAGGCGAACTTCATTGTGTGTCACTTGACACATATGTTGTGTAGCAGGATCGTGTAGAAAAAATAATCTAAATTACCATATTACTTTAGGTATTGTATTTTCAATTATTTTTAACTGCTATCACAGCTAACTGTGACCTATTTTGAATTAGACATTCCCACCCTCTTGTTAAGGTTGTATTCCGTAAAGGACTTGGTTCAATAAATCCACCAAAAATTTATACTGTTTTTAAAGACAGTTTCCTTTCATTAAACCAAATTGTTACAAATATCTTATTGTTGACTGTCGCATATTTCATGCAGTTATAACGGCTCCAGTCTTTCGCATTCAAAAGTCTTGATCTTAAAACTTAATTTATACGTTTATTGAATAAAATAGTGCCAAGTAATTCCTTATATATCACTAGCTGTAACCCGCGGGCTTTGCCCCGTTTAACTTCTTAATTTTCAAGATTATCTCGTTCGCATGGCTCAATCACGTCCTGGTTGAAATTTGTTCGCTACGCTCACTCACCTTTAGGTTGGAGCTCGTTCGCTACGCTCACTCACCTTTAGGTTGGAGCTCGTTCGCTGCGCTCACTTGCCTTCAGGTTAGCTCGTTCGCTACGCTAACTCGCCTCCAGGTTGAAGTTCGTTCGCTACGCTCACTCACCTTTTGGTTGCAAATTAGCTGTTGTCATAAATGTAAAAGAAATAATAGTGCTGCACCCTGTTGGTAATTTTTGTAACTTTAATGCTATTGAACATCACAGAACAGAACCAACTTGTTTAATTGAAACAGCTGTTAAAATTCAATAATTTCATTTCTCATAAGGTTAACATGGGAAACTCCAGAGCCACTGGGGCGGAGCCCGAAAGGATTTTTGAAATAAGAATATGCCTATATGTTAATCGAGAATGTGAGCTATCATCATGCCAAATTTCAGCCCAATCCGACCAGTATTTTTCGCGTTCACTTGTCACAAACATACATCCATACATCCATACATCCATCCATCCAAACTTTCTCATTTATAATATTAGTAGGATCAGCTTAGTGTATTTCGCACGTGCAAGAATATCCGAAAATACTCCAGGTAGAACAAACAAGTTTTGTTATCAATGTATAAACATTGTTAGCGGAGCCGCGTGTGGATTGACTGATAACAAACGGACGTGTTGGTGCAAGACGAGGTGTTAACGGTGTTAACAGCTGACTTCCTTGATAACTGAGTTCTGCAACACTTCCGGTAACAGCTTTCAGCACCACAAGGATGTTCAAAGATCAAACAAAATGTTTGAATTTCCGCGTTGGTTAGCACCGATCTTGAATCACTTTTTATACTGTACACAAAACCAAACCGCACAAAATAGTAAGGTATTCTTTATCAGTGAGTCTGAAATTTAAAAGAATCTTTTATACTTGCGGTAAGGCATTACTAAACTTGAATATATGTCTGTATATTGATTTTACCATAAATAATAGCTGGAAGTTAACATTTTCAATAAATTTGCTTTAGGGTTAATAATTGAAAAAGTACTATTGACAATGTCATATTTTCTTCTGCTTTTGCTGCTTAATTGAAGGCACAAATTCAAACTGAATCCCAATACAATTACAGTAATTGTTTGTAGCTAAGTAGTTCTTGTAATCAAAAGATGATCACCTGTTCGAACCTGATAATAGTGTGTAGATTTTTAAGGTTCAAAACAGCCAGTTTTGGAACAGTTTTGATGGGCCCAGCTATCCATTATCATTGGGTATTTAATCAATGATCTTGATTCGATCTTTAATAAAAAAAAGATGCACTTAATCAGTAACAAAGATTCACAGAATATGTCGCTCCTTTCTACACTCACATTGCATTCATAATTATCTTTAAAGAGCGTGTCGCTGAGTCCAAGTTTTCATAAATGATTACTGTAATGTTAGACTCCTTAACTAATATTTGCATATCAAATTAATACAGTAGCTACTTAAAAAACCGGGCAGTTTTCAAGAACCTGTTTAAAAAAATAAAGTTCCCCCAGTATTATCGTTGTTTGCCGTATAAATTCCTTATATTTATTATGTTCCAAGGAACACCTACCGCTAAATTATTTTCATTTTTCATTATGAAAACACACGTTCTGTTTAGGTACAAAACACAGGATCACGATAAGGTCACAAAAACAAGTCAAACCGCTCCATTCTACAGGAAAATAAGGGTGATCCCAAACGTGAAGAGGCTCCCATCAATTTGCATGCATTATCTAATAGAAACATAAACTAATAACGGCCATCCTGTGAGGCTAGTAATACACCGATGCCGCGGATACGTGGTACATGTAATCACTTAGAGGTGATGGTGACCATCCGGTAATGTGTACATCATTCTGTAGTATCCGGACGAGGAAGGTGAATTTGAGAGGTTGGAAAATATGTCAGTAGTGTCTGACAACTCCCTTCAAGTAAAAAACATTTTAGTCTGATAACAAAATATCGTTTTGTGTTATCAGACAAATCCCTTTTAGTTTGATAACACCCTAGTTGGGACCAAGAAAGTACCAGTACTGTTCAGAAAGTGTTTCGCAGCAGTGCACTTTGGAAGTATGCCTTTCGGAACACCGCTTGAATCTTTCAGTTGGTATTGAGCACTTTGGGATGTTCTAGGATTTGGATCCTGTTCAGCT